TAACAGCTCGTATATCAAATTTCAGATTGATTCGATTTAAAATGGCTAAGATATAAAACCATAAAAAATGTGAGTAAATACTCTGCCTATCAAGGCTTGTTATGTAATTACATGGTTTCAGTATGGTTCTTATTCATAGAAAACTATTATAAAAGATCATTTCTGCACAGATTCCTTCACCAGTGGAGACTTTTAATATCTTAGAGATGAATATCCATGTCTATAAATGCTAAGCCACTTGAGTGAATACAATCAAATTTACTTTTTATTAATCAAATGAAATCGGTTCTTTGTTAATAATGAAATTTGAAAACCTTAAAAATCTTTGTTTTTGGTTGATCTTCAAATAATAAAATAAGCAATAAAAACAGCTGAATCAATTTAAAACTTTTTTTTTCATTTTCTTCCCTTAAGTTATATCTCGATTTATCAACATACGTGCCAGGAGTTAGCCTCGAATGATATGTAAGTAACCGAGAAATTAAAGTCCACCAAAAGCAAAACTTGAATCAGATACTTTGAAAAAAAAATTAACAATGGTGATACATAGTGTTTCACTGTAAACCTAAAGACTAAAGCTGTTAGACTTAAAATGTAGTTATATTAAAAGATAGGTTGTCATTTTCTATTTCAAATCCTGGCATGCACAATTATGTAAACGATATCTATGTTGCTGTTGTAAAAAAAAATCACCATTGTGATTACAATACATTTGAAATACGGAAAGGTCTGAAAATATCTCATTAATTATTGAAAAGAACTTGCTAGACCAGTCACTGGCTTAAAACCTCTTGCAATTCGTGGTTCCCTCCTTTATCCTTTCTTTAACACACAGGAACTTAACAACCAACACAAGTACCATGGTGGTAACACAAAAATAATGCAACCTTAACGTTATTAGTCAAACTAGCATTAGAAGTTAAATAGTCATTTCCTTGAATTGCTGATGGTAGAGTTTTTTGTTTTTCCTGTAGAAATTTGCAATTGAGCTGACTTTCAGGTAGGTTCATGTTTTGGGGTAACTTTCCTTTGTTCTAGTACCGCCTGAACCCCCATAGAAATAGATGTACTAAGACAGAGAATGCAATGTGTATAAGACTTTAAAAGTGCCAGTTGTCCACTCCGACAGCGTCCCCCAGCAATGCCAGTTGGTGTCATCCTTAGTTCCTTATTCCTTCCATTTTCTTGCCCATCAATAACATTGTCCACAGGATTCCTAATCTTCCACTCTTCTGCACAAGGTCACAGGGTGCAAATTATTATTCATCTCTTAAAAACAGCTTGTAGGAAAAGGGAAAACTTTAAACCATACACACGCACATATAGAACCATCCACTGTTGCCGACAACTAGAATAATGGGGATGACTGATGAAGGTGGAGCTTTGTCCTCCTACCTGACCTAGCAAGAACCTAGTCACAACTCTTTCTCAGAAATAGGTGTGGAAGGTAGGATTAGAAGATGCATTTTCTTGATTTTATTTTTTATAACGTTATTGAGTCTCTCTGCCCAACCCAAGATAAACTTGTCGACCTGAACGGAATACATTTGAAAGGGATTTTAAAACACAAAACAAAACAAATCTTTTTTTCCCCCAAAATAAGAGTGAGTACTAATGATAGCAGGTAAGATTATTTTCAAACTTTTTAGTATTTAGCCATTCACGACAGAGCATGTCCTCAGTGCTTTTTAACATAGAATATTCACGCCTGCCAAGAAACATGGCTTCTGTCTTTAACAAGCTTAGCATAAAGGAGAAGAACAAAAACAGTTAAGACTTTGCTATGCAATATAAACTGTGAATAAAATAAGGTCTTCAGTGCTTTTTGTTTTCTTTAAGTTAAAGAGATCTTATTTTTTATAAAATACCAAGGGGATGTGCCCACTTGGCAGCCTTAGCAAACTGTTCATTCACAGCCGACTCTATGCCGCCCTGCTGTTGTTTGGGCTTGGGCTGGGGACAGCTTCCAGGAAGTGTCTTCTGCGTCCATCCAGGTGTAACTGCTCCACAGTATGACCGAGTCAGGGATCTCACCTACCTGCGGTGTAGTTTAGAAAGAGATGGCTGTGTGGTCAGATTTTTTCAGAAATTTCAGTGCGCCAAAAATACAGTTCCATCAAGCTTACCGAAGTGCTAAATTTGTTGAAATGGCAAATAACATCTTATGTGTAAAATACTTCTCACCTACCTCCCACTCTCCACCCCTGTGGAGCAGGATCGTATTGAATTTGAGGTGTGAACACCCTGATATTTCATTCTGACTCAACTTTCCATTCTCATGTTTGAGAAGATTTGATAATATCCACCTATATGGTTGAAACAAATCTTAAATGTTTAATAATGAGAGTTGAGGTGAAAACAAAGCCTACGAAGTATCTTCCTCATCCGAAAGAAATCATACTTGAATCCCCTGACACATAGCTAACTTACTGAGCATTTACTTCATGTCTGGCGCTGTTTTAATTGCATCTATTAATCCACATAATAATTGACAGCGCACGCTGTAAAGGGGGTAATATTTCGAACTTGAGAGTTAAGTAATTTGCCCAATGTTGCACCTAGCAAATGGAAGAGTCAGGTTTTTTAATACAAGTGGTCTGATTTCTGTATCTGGTTGTTAACTTCCCACCTATCCTGACTCTAAGTGAATTCAGTATTCATGATGTGTACTGTATTTCAAATAAGACAGGGTTTACTTAAAATACAGCAACATTTATTGGAGGACATGAACTACAGAAAGCAAGACATGCCTGTGGAAACTAGTGCTGTAATTTCAGGATTTTCCCTCTAACTAATGAAGGGCATTATCTTTGCAAGAGAATTAAGCACCCAGTTGTGCAAGGGTTGAAATGCTCCCTGAAATCAGGATTACACCCACTTTGGCATGCTCTGTCAAGCACCCAGGGTATAAGGAAAGAAAAGCGGGCTGGAGTGAATGTTCCCCATTCAAATTTGAGCCTCAGCCATACATGCGGGGTAGCTCCAGTCGGACATTTACATGTCTTTATGTGGATGGTGTTGGTGTTGATTTGCCCAGCATGCTACTTAGATTTAGGAAACTGATAGGGTGGCTCCGGCAAGGTTTCACAATTGTAACCTAACTGGGCTCCCTGGCTTAATTTGGATAAAGGGGACCCCAAAATGCTGGATAAACACAACCTCTAATAGCCCGCTGGTTTCGGGAAAAGCACAAACCTTTGTGTCTACAGCGAGCCGAGCCCCAGTTGGGCCCTTTGGACCTCCGACAGAGTGTTTGATGCTGCTGCTGCTGTGGAGACTGAGAAACTTGCTGTGTGTTCCTACTTCTGACTTGGGGAGGAGGGAAGAAAGAGGGTGCCTGAGATTATCTTTGGGAAAAATCTAGCTTTTATTACATCACCTAAAGTGGCACAACCTGCTACACTAATGAAATCGTGTTCTTGGTTTAAAAGGGCAATTGTTAGCCTGACTTTGCGCTCACTGAAAACATTCCCCCAGTCTTGTTAAGTTATTGCTCTCAGTTTAGATTTTTATAGCTGTGCAGCTTACCAGCCCTCATTTCTTTACGTTTCATTCATTTTCCTTGTATTGATGATTAATGGAGGATGTCGAATGTTAGAGTGAGCAGGCATCAGCAATTGCAAGATCATAATTAGTTTAGCTGACGAGGGCCTCTGATAGCACTTGCATCTGGATGGAAAAATTACCCTATAGGGAACTGGCTGCTCACCAGGTCTTTTTAGTGATACATTGTGAAACACCCGATGAATCAAATGCCCTTTCAATGCCAAGAAAGTGTTCCAGTCTTGAAGCCAAAATTATGTCTGCAGAAAGCTTTCCATTTGAAATGTATCAGAGTACAATTATAACCATTGTATTTTCTTGGCAGGCATACCACCCTGCTACAGTATGGACTTCAGTTAAATAAATTGCCTAAATTTTATGTATCCCTGAAATTTTGACTTATAGCATTTGTAATATTTAATTTATAATAAAATTTGGTTCCAGCAAGACTTTTTCCACTCCTTATCTAACATGCATATTTTATCATTAAAGGCTTTGCTTCCTAAGAAAAGGAGAACAGAGCTGGAATCTGGATTGCCTTTTTTTTTTTTTTTTTGCAGGGAGAGAATTCCATTTCCTGCCTGTTCACATTTGTGCCTACAAACACAGCCCGACTTTTGTTTAAATGAGAAGTTTACTGGAATCATTACTGGATAGCAAGAATGTAACCAGTGATACTAATTATTTACTTTTAAATATTCTTATTTTTGAATCGGATGATTACAGAATTCAGGCCACTAAAATCAATCTGTTTTTGGAAATGCTTCTGATTTCTAAGTCTGAGTCAAATAAAATAAATAAATAGCCATTGATGGGACTGCATTGTCTAGCTGAGAAGGCACTCGTATGCTCTGTCATTAGTAGTACTGTACTCCTGGCACAAGTTCCCCCTGGCCCGCCTGGTGTTGGGGAACAGAGGATGTTTCTATTTAACATTTTAACCATTGCAAAAGAAGGACCAGAATCCAGGGTCTGATGGTCTCATAATACTTAGGTTACATGAATGGCCCACAAAAAAGACACAAATTGGGTTTACTTTACTTTCTTTTTTGTTCCAAGCTTGACCATATTTTAAAACACAGGTAGCATGTCTCAAAGTATGTTAAACACATTGCCATGTTCTGTCTTTTTACTCTTGTTTTGACACTGTGAAAAGGCCTATTCTCAGGTTCAGCACTTCGGAGCCATCGTTAAAGGCACAAAACCCAAAGTTCAAAACGTTAAAGCTGCTCCGGTGACCAGCCTTTGGTGTTCCCCACACCTCATCCATCACTGTGGGGTTCATTATAACGCGAGTCAGCGGTACCTATTAAACACAGTTGAACCTGACCTCATTATGGGCAGTGTGGTTTTATACTGTCATTGTTGCAAGTCTGAAGACAAAACTCCTGGGTTGATGGGGTCTAACTCCACTGATCACGTGACTCACCTCTGACCTTGTTTCCCCCCCATTTCAGAGGCGTAGAGGCTCGGGTGTTTTTTGTGCCAATTGCCTGACCACGAAGACCTCTCTCTGGCGAAAGAATGCAAATGGTGGATATGTATGCAACGCGTGTGGCCTCTACCAGAAGCTTCACTCGGTAAGAGTTCGTCCCACTGCTTCAGGAAAAGCTTCAGAAAGCTGAGCTGGCCTGCTCCATCGTCTGCTAAGTCCCATTCCTGGCTTGGGTTGCCTGCCCCTGCGGGGTGCTTCAATACAGTCACTTTGAAGGTCCCTGTGATTTAGGGTAAAAGGACCTTAGATGGGATGGGGAGATAGATTTCAGATCATTAGTAATGCATGATGCTTCTTTTGATATAAAAGAGGAAAATGATTGATTGGGGAGAACGTCACCTAGGAGATAGTCGGCCTAATGGTTAGCGGACTTTGTGCGATGAATTTAGGTAGAAAGGGGAGACCTTGAAAGTTTCACAAATACACCAAAAGTTAAAATAAATAAATAAATAAAAGGTCCCTCCAGGGTTGACCTGAAATGTAACATAGGAAATAAATATTTATTTTCCAGTTTGCCTTCAGACCTTGGCAGCTGGAAGCCAGGCTCTCAGCAGCATAGTTCAGGCCTGGGAGCAGAAGTGCTCCGACAGCAATGCTCGAAGGGGGTTTGGTGGGGAGTCTGGAGTCCTCAGTGGCACAAACACCAGGGGAGCGGAAGTGCAAGGTGTGTTGTGTTTTTAATCTCCAGCTGGTTTGGCTCCTGGGAATCCACCAAATTACTTGTTTCCTAAACTGTAGTTAGAATTCTGTAATAAAATTCAAACTGACACATCCCCCATCTGTATACACATTTGACTTTTGGGAGGATTCTTTATAGTTTAGAAAGTTTATCTGCTGACATGAACTGACTTTAAAATAGGAATGCCCCATTTCGTAAACAGAAATCTATTTGCCTGTGCCTTTTTCATTTTGCTTGGCATTTTACCATAGCTCTCAGCATAAGCCAGTGAATAGATTACGGCCACAGGGAATACAACTTTAGACAAAACGCCTTCCTAAATGGACCATGGGAAGCGCTCTTTAAAAAAATGCGTGCTGCCAACAATATTAATTGGGAGTAAACCCTAAAAAACTTAGTTATTGGAATGTAGCTAGTAGAAAGATCCCTACCACCAAACAGTACCACTTCCTGTCCTCTGCAACCATTCACACACAGCAATAAACTTCCACTTAATGAGCACTGATACTAATAATTTTAATTGAACTCTGGCCAATCATGGGCCAAGAATTAATTAAATTACTGCTCTGCCAAGTTACGATAATTTAACCACTGTGATATAAACTATTTTCTAAAACTTATTTTAATATTCACCTCTCCAGAGGCAACATGTTCTCAGTTTTGAGTCTTTTCAAACTGCAAACTGAAATACGTAAAGGCTAAGCGCATACAGAATTGCAGCAAAAGTTATGAAAGCTTAAAAAAGAAATTAATGCACATTTCAGGTTTCTTTATTGTATGGAAATTAAATACTACATATTCTTACAATCCTAATACAGACTCTTTATAAACCAAAACATTCTGGAAAAAATGAATACACATGACATATCCAAGCTATGTGCCATTTTCATTCCGAAACTAGTAATTTAATTCTAAAACCAGCATGTTATCTTTCTTTTCTTCAGAGTAACTTGTCACAATAGAAATATTCCAAAAGAGATTTATATCTGCATTTTTAATATATAAAATATTTCTTTGTAAAGTGTATCCTTCAGAAGAATTCACAAATTACATGTTATCTATATTTATTTTCTGGAAATTGTTTCCTGATTTCAGTAATCTTTTAGCCCACTTGAAGATTCTCCTAAACTTTTAATGTTTAAATATGCATTCACGTATTAAAATTATTCTTTTGACTTTATGAATCACAGTGAAAGCTCTCCCTACAAGTAAAGTTTTTATTATAGTCTTATCCATGGATTTTAGTTGTGTAATATAAACACCTGTTGAACATGTACGTAAATACCAATCATGTCATGTGTAAACTAAATAAAATACTTAAGCTAAATTAAAGTCAGCATTTATTTTAAGTAGGGTAGAATGACAAGTTGGGTATTTGATCCCAAGCTACAGATGAATTTAGATTTTCAACACAAAACTAATGCTTCACCTGTTAACAAGTAAAATTTTCCCTAGTGAATATGAAAATATCATTAGAGGAAGAGAAGAAAAGAGGAAAGAATCCTCTGATAAGGCTTTGACGATCTGATATGTTTCCTTACAGTTCTGTCAGTTTGTCTTATTTGGGCTCTGGTATGAATATTTTATGTTCACATTTGCAGTTCCTTAAGGAGATGCATGCATTAGTCAGTTTAAAGTGCTGTAACAAAACCATAGACTGAGTGTATCAAAACAATAGAAAAGTACCTTCTCATGGTTCTGGAAGCCAGAAGCTCCAGGTGCCAGAGAGATGGATTCTGGGAAGGCTTCTTCCAGCCTTAGATGGCTGCCATCTTGGTGGGTGGAGAGAGGGACCTCTCTTTCAGTCTTATAAGGTCACAGTCCTGCTGGACTGGGCTCACCTCCCTGACCTTAGGTAACCTTTTTTACCTCCTAAAGACCCTGTTTCTAGATCCAGACGCTTTAATGTTAGAGCTCCCACATGGGAACCAAAGGGGGCACGGTTTACTCCGCTGGAATGTGTACCTGTCTCCCCTGTTGATTTGTTGTCATTTTAATGCATAAGTCAAAATTCAAAAATATTTTAGTAAAACCATGGTTTTGTGAGTAACTTTCTATGGTGCAACCACAAAAATCTGATGAGTTTGGAAAAGCTGCTTTCAAGTACATTAAAGTTTTCTGTGCCCCCTGCAAAGATGGGCATGATTTAATTAGGCGAAAATAATGCACTTTGGTTACTTCCTCTGCTGCTGCTGCTTAGGGCAAAAGGAGGAGATTTAGTAAATCTGCAGCATAAACCCCATCCTTGCTTTGAACTGCAGCATGGTTTATATTTGTGAGGAATTTTTAATGCATTTTAATGTATTTTTTAATGTTTTCCTTTTATGTATTGTGTGTGTTCTCTGCAGACTCCCAGACCTTTAAACATCATTAAACAAAACAACGGTGAGCAGATTATTAGGAGAAGAACAAGAAAGCGCCTTAACCCGGAGGCACTTCAAGCCGAGCAGCTCAACAAACAGCAGAGGGGTAGCAGTGAGGAGCAGGTCAATGGAAGCCCATTAGAGAGGAGGTCAGAAGAGCATTTAACTGAGAGCCATCAGAGAGAAGTTCCACTCCCAAGCCTAAGTAAATATGAAGCCCAGGGTTCATTGACTAAAAGCCATTCTGCTCAGCAGCCAGTCCTGGTCAGCCAAACTCTGGATATTCACAAAAGGATGCAACCTTTGCACATTCAGATTAAAAGTCCTCAGGAAAGTACTGGAGATCCAGGAAATAGTTCCTCTGTATCTGAAGGGAAAGGAAGTTCTGAGAGAGGCAGCCCCATAGAAAAGTATATGAGACCTGCAAAACACCCAAATTATTCACCACCAGGCAGCCCTATTGAAAAGTACCAGTACCCACTTTTTGGACTTCCCTTTGTACATAATGACTTCCAGAGTGAAGCTGATTGGCTGCGGTTCTGGAGTAAATATAAGCTCTCTGTCCCTGGGAATCCGCACTACTTGAGTCATGTGCCTGGCCTACCAAATCCTTGCCAAAACTATGTGCCTTATCCCACCTTTAATCTGCCTCCTCATTTTTCAGCTGTTGGATCAGACAATGACATTCCTCTAGATTTGGCGATCAAGCATTCCAGACCTGGGCCAACTGCAAACGGTGCCTCCAAGGAGAAAACAAAGGCACCACCAAATGTAAAAAATGAAGGTCCTTTGAATGTAGCAAAAACAGAGAAAGTTGACAGAAGTACTCAAGATGAGCTTTCGACAAAATGTGTGCACTGCGGCATTGTCTTTCTGGATGAAGTGATGTATGCTTTGCATATGAGTTGCCATGGTGACAGTGGACCTTTCCAGTGCAGCATATGCCAGCATCTTTGCACGGACAAATACGACTTCACAACGCACATCCAGAGGGGCCTGCATAGGAACAATGCACAAGCGGAAAAAAATGGAAAACCTAAAGAGTAAAACCTTAGCACTTAGCACAATTAAATAGAAATAGGTTTTCTTGATGGGAATTCAATAGCTTGTAATGTCTTATGAAGACCTATTAAAAAATACTTCATAGAGCCTGCCTTATCCAACATGAAATTCCCTTCTTTTATTCTCCTTTCTTTTGTTGAGTAGGTTACCAAGATTTAAAAATGAGACAGGTGTCAGTGAGAAAGAACGGAAGGTGGTAAACAATCATTTTTAGAACTTAGTTAAGTCAAAGCCATCTTGGTGGATATATACTGGGGAAATGATCCACACAGAGTCCCACCAGATTATATAAAAGGTAAAAAGATAAAAACTGTCTAGAATGTGAAAGGGTTTACATATTACAATACAGAAACAGTGTTGGGTTGGCCATTGGCCCATTTGTTCAAAAACCCATACATTGTGTCCTCAATTCAGAGGTATCATGAAATTGGATCTTGACGGGGAGGGAAGGCAAATGCTCCCTCTCAAATTGGTCTCCTCTCATTGACTGTGTTTCAGACTTGGACCTAGAAATGAGGATCTCTGGTTAGGCTTGGTGAGAGAGCAGCAAGAAATGTGACAGAAGGGTGGCACGATGGTTTTGGCCAGCCCTGCCTGTCCATGCACATGCGCACCCTCTTTGATATTTTTGTCCCTTAGATGTTCGAGTAGTAGTCCTTTGTTTGCAGTTTAGGTTCATTTCGTCCAAATATATTCCTGTTTTTTAAAAAACAATGTCCTCGATGCTTACATAGTAATTTTATTTTAGCCAGACATGTCTTTCTCATTTATGATGAACACGTTTGGATTTTTTTCCCCCCTCCTGTCTCACTCGGCACATTATGACTAAAGCAGTCCCCTCAGTTTAAAAGAATAGGTGGATGCAAATGTCACACCATGGGTTTCATTTGCTTAGAATACATGGTATTTCTCCACAAGGTAACCTGCTGTATTTATTTATTTTCTTTTGGTTAAATATAATTTCCAAACTTTGTGGTCAGGCAGCGTCTAAGGTTACATTACCACAGACTGACAGTTAGTATATGTACCAATCAATCCCTTCATTAGATTATGCAGGTTTAGTTAAGTAGCATTAAATAGGATTCTTAGAAGTATGTCTTCATAGTACTTTTAATACTTAAGGCTTTGTAAAAACTATCCATGAAGGGAAAGCTCCTCAGCATAACTGCTCAGGGAAATAGGGCTAAATAACTGAACATTAAATAATTGGTTAAAGGTGCTGTTAGTCGAGCCTCAATGCTTGCTACAAGGATGTATGTACAAGGACTGACTTTAATAATTTGCATTATATTGTCCCAACCAGTAGTTTATTTTTTGCCACGGAGATGTAGAAGATATTACAAGCTACTGGATGCACTGTCAGATTAACTTATTTCGTTAAAGAAGTTGGGAGAACAAATAGGAAAAAACTTATTTTTCTAGTAAATATTAATGTATTACATTTCAAATAATGGTGCCTGACATATTGAATAAATATTTTCTACAGTGTACGTATGCAACAAAGATATTCCATCATGCATTAGAGTCAGTACTGGCTCTGCCTAGCTGTTTACATTTGCAAATGTAGCAAACAAGGTAATGAAGCAACTATTTCTATTGCAGTAGATATCTTTTTGTGTGTGTGTGTGTGCATTAAAGTTGTAAACGGTAACATGAAACAAATGAAAGTTCTTGATATAATGGTATGGAAAACAAGAAGGAAATGAAAATATTTTTATGCCTACTTAGGAAAAAAAGGGTAGCACTATTCATTCCAAGTACTTTTTTTTTTAAATTTTTAAGCTCTTAACTCACGTTGTTATGCTTAAAATGATAAACATATATCCTCTTTTTATTGCTTTGTCTATGTTTCAGAGGAAACATTTCAGAAATTATTTTGATGAGTGTTGCTGGAATTTGCAGCACTGATGTTTTTATTGCATTTTGTAGTCGCATTTGCACTCCATTTTTACATTAATTCGCAGTTGCTTTGTATTGTTTTGTTTTGTCTGGGTTTTGTTTCTCACAGCGCTGGGTCTTCGTTTCTTTAAAGTTGGATGGCAGGTAGAGTTCAGTCAGTTCCTGTTGTGTGAATGAAGTTGAAAATATCTTTCTGATGTTGTCTTGTCATTTCCATTCTTGCATTTTCATTTTTCATGAACAAAGAAAAAAAGGAAAAAAAAAAAAAACGAGAGAAAGAAATCAGGACTAAGTCCTCTGCTTCAGTTTCATTGTTAAAGGGCCTATTCTGATCTCACCTGTCACGTAGCTCTAATAGTCACATAATCTGAAATAAAGAGGTGGAAGGAGGAGCTCTGACATCCAAATGATTTGATAGAATGTGTTTTAGGATTTTTGATGCATACGTCTCAAAGTAAATAGATCCAAAAGTGACAAAGATCTTTGTTAGAGAGATTTCCCAAACAACAATTCGTTTTCTTATTTTAAAAGAATATAAAAATGCAATGTAGCAATTCTCGAGCAACATGATATGCAGAATGCTCAAATCAGTGGCAAGCAGACAAACCTGAGCATGAGACTAAGTGGCCGGTAACACCAGAAGTTTAAGTTGGGCAACGTTACAGGTATTACTTTTTGGGCAAAACTACTTCTTCAGCATTTTATCCAGTGTGTCAAACATAAATAGGTTGTTCATTATTGGCATGTATGCCTTTGTTTTTCATTCTGTTTTGTTTTTTGTTTTTTGTTTTTTTTTCAAACAGGCGTAGTAGTAATGACGAGCATTGGAAAATACATATCACTTTTTGGGGGAATATTTATGTTCAGTCTACTTTCCGTAGAATATTCTTTGATAGCATTGGCATGATAGATCTTATTCCATACTCCTTTATTATTAATTATTTTATTTTCATTTTTGCTTTCATTATTATACATATTCTGGTGGGAAAGAAGTTGGACTTTTTAAAAAGGATAGAAGTTTATCATAACACTAAAATACTCCCTTATTTTTGGATGAAGTTAAAGCCTTTGTTCCATCTTGCAAAATATATTATAAAAATGTTTTCTATTTTTTTAAGATTTAAGAATCATTTTGTCTTAAATTGTGAATGATTTTAAATGAGCTATTTAGGTACTTAACCTTTTTCTGAAGAACTTTCAAGATAATTTAGAAATTTTCCCCTCTTCGAAAAGGCTTCCCTTGTCCTGTGATGAATACTATAAGTCAGCTACAATTGTTTGCCACATGAAACCTGTAGGTCTTTTTCAATTACTTGTCTATAGTCCAAATTGAGCTTTGGCTCAGACTTAAGGCCAGGACCAGTTCATGCATTCTTCCTCTTCTTTTTCTTGCTCTTTTCTCATCCTTGCTCACCCCACTCTTCTTACAGTTGTTTGGGATAGAAAAATCGTAAAGAGCCAGCCCACCTCGGAAGATGGCAGGTCGCGAGAGACACTACAGGACACTAAGTAGACGAGGGAAGGATGGAGCTCTCTAGTCCAAAAAGCAAAGAGAGCCCAGTTCTCGCTACATGACATATTGAGATGTTCTTTTAAAACTCCACTTTTAAGATAGTGATGTTCTGTTCTAAGCTGTTCTGTTTTAGTAAAGATAGATTTTAGAAAACAAGCGTGGGGATTCTTTTCGAAGGTAATAATGAGAAGAAGAGAAAAGGTGATTATCTTTAAAGAGGTCTTTGTTGAAGCCTGTGGTAGCACATTATGTTCATGATTGCACATGTGCACGTAATCTATTATGATCCAATGCAAATACAGCTCCAAAAATATTAAATGTATATATATTTTTAAATGCCTGAGGAAATATGGTTTTCTTAATAAATTGAAGAATATCAATACTGCTATTAAAATAATTATTAGCCTCCTGCTGTGTGGTTGCAAAACATCACAGAGTGACCTGTCCCGGAACTGCCAACTGCCTGCCTATTTAGCCAATGAAAATGAACACATTTCTATATGGGGGAGCATCTGCTGTCCAGCGTTGGGAATGCGAAGTGAGGAAGCTGGTGGTTACACTACCTCTGGGCTGTATGAGAGTCTTGGCTAAAGTTGAGATGTGTTCACAACTACCTGTCTTTGGGTTGGAGGTCATGGGGAAAAAAAGCCCTAAAAAACAACAAACAACTCAAGGCATCTTTGGTAAGCAAGACAAAGGAGAAAACTTGAGGAATCAAAATGCAACCTGAGTATGAAACTCAATGTACTGACCAAAGGTAGGTGCAGTTAGGTGGAAGCTATTAGCAGACAGCTGATCGTAACTGAGAAGAGGACAGAAAGACAGGCGTCTGCTCTTGGAGTGTTATTTTTTCCAAAGAAAGACTTGGCAGAGGACAGAGGCATGGCATTTTTGCATTGCACTTCCCATTGGCTGTCCATTTCCAGGACAGAGTGAATTCGCCTGTTCTTAATAGCAGGGCAGTTGTTCAGACATCACCTCCAGTTATTTGCAGTAATTAGAACTTTGGAAGATACCAGGGCAGAAGTGTTTCAAGTCAGGGATGAAGAAGATGTGAAACAGAAGCGTAATCCACATGTGGGAACTGGATAATGTATGTTCCCGTGTTGTTCTCTTGAAAAGAAAGGGAGAGCTGTAAGCTTACTCTGGCCTACACCAGAAGAAGGTGAGAGTAACTTTACCATGGACACAGTGCTTCGCCTTCGTTAGAGAAAAGGGTCCCAAAGGGTCCCTAAATCCCCAACCTGAATCCTGGTTTTACCCCTGGTTATTTCTTCGATACCTGAACTGCAGCAAATCACTTTTTCTTTTTGTGCCTCAGGTTCCTCAACTATAAAGTGGAAAATATATTAATAATATTAATATTAATATTAATAATAATGGTAATGTAGTACTTGTTTGTAAAGCACTTTGAGAGCCTTGGTTGAAAGGCACCATAGGAGTGTCAAGTATTATGTGGCCAAGGGGATTATTTAAATTTAGTTCCCAAGGGCCAAGAAAGGTTGGGGTCATTTTTGTTAAAGATGAGCTGTAAATATTATAACTAGACAGCCTATAGTGTTGACTATTAAAAAGCAAAACTGTTACAAGGCTGATAAAACCATGGTTTATTAATGGCTACCAACAAGGCAAATATCACAATAACAAATACCAAATTCCTTAGGATGTACTATTTGACAACAACATTGATAATCTGGGGGGAGGGACAGGGGTGGGAAACATCTCAAAATGCCAATGTAAAATTAACTTACAGCAATATTCACCAGCAGAAAATGTCTTTCATATGGAATGATTTCATGTTGCTAAGAAAAAGAATTCAATTTGTAGTCCTGATTTGAACATTAGAATGTTGGCTATAATAGTTCTGTTCTTACAACACATGGGATTTTTTCGTTTTATTTTATTTTGTTTTCATAGTGCATGTTCATTTCTACTCACAAACATGTTCTTGGTGTATTTCTTATGCAAACAATCTTCAGGCAGCAAAGATGTCTGTTACATCTAAACTTGAATAATAAAGTTTTACCACCAGTTATACACAATGGTGTTGGTATGGTTTATACGGATTCACTTTCATTCATGTAGCAATAGGAAATACAAACCACTGTAACATTTAGACAGGTTTTGATGGATTAAAATGGTAAGATCAAGTCTCTGTTTTTTAAATATTACAAAAACTGGTAACACCTGGATTCTCTCAACTTGTTTTGTTTTTGCTTTGCTTTTTTTTCTTTAACCAACCAATCTCCTGTTGATAGATTTTGTGTAAAAAAATTTTACTCGTTTCTTTAGGAAGATTAACAATAAAAATTGTGCTTATTACAAAAATAGTTATTGAGTATCAGATATTGAGTGTTGGGTACCGTAGTACAATATGTGAAAACTCCTGCTTAGAAACTGAACTTTGATTCATGCAGTACATCCTCATCAATATGATAAATCATCTCAAAAGTATAAATTAATATATTAAATACTTGGTTGGCTTAAAGTGGAAATAATCAGCGGGTCATCCTGAAGGAAGTTTTTGAAAGAGGGATAAGGCAGGTGAAATCCAAATAGGGAAAACATACTGGAACCCTCAGTTAAGAGTTTTTAACCAGAAGCAGAATCACCAGAACAGGACATAAAACACATAAATAATTGGAGCTGTGTATTGAAAAGTTTTAAAATAACTACTATCCACTCTCCTTGTGCAATCTTCATTTATCTTTCTGGTGAACCGAAATTGATGAACAAATCCTTTGATGTATTTTTTTCTTCCTCCTCATTCACACGTTTTGAAAATAGGGGAGTAGAGACTTCGAGGGACTTTCATAAGGGAACAAGTTCACTCCACAGCCAGCGGCAACATTGTGTAGATAAGAGTGTAGTAATGACATTTCATGTGAATTTTCCTTATATCTTCCCCTAGAGACTTCTTTTCAGATAAAATGGGACGCACTTTGTTCTCGCCCAAGACTGTCAGAATCCCATTCATGGAGAAAAATGTGGCCATGGGCTATTTAGCATTGCTTGAACAAAGAGAAGAGAGCTAGTCAGCAGGCACCGTCCCGTCCCCTCACTTCATGGTCCCCACCTCAGGGAAGGTAGACGGGTCAGGTGGGGAGGCCGCTGGACAGAGCCCGGAGGAGAGAGCCAAGGGCTCATCTCACCCGGCTCCGTCTGTGAAGGTGGACTCAGCTAACCCGCAGCAGTACCGCGAGGAGGAGTGCTAACATGGGTTCCCCGATTTTCGGTTTTCAAGAAAAATTACACAAATTTTATGTGAAATCTATTTTTTAAATGTCAGTAGCCGACTTTGTAGAAAAATGTGTATATGGAGCCAAACAGAACACTTGTTCAGAATAAATTCCACCGCTAGTTGCCACAGTGGACTCTTGGAGCATGAACAGTCATGGACTCTGGTTACTGACCGGAGGAAACTGGGCAAAGTTCGGGGGTTTGCTGCAGCTCCTCTTGGGTTTTGTCTCCAATCCCAAAACATCTTCAGCTCTACCAGCAAACCCAGAGCACTAGGGCTGCATCACCAGCCAGATCCCTTCAGAGTCAGATTGATTTGAGACTGGAAACATTTGAGCAAAAGAGAAATACTGTATTTCTTTAAGCATGCTGCAAATCACTTTCTACTTTTGTTCTGTCATCGCGACCCTATGGTATCTTTGTGTGTGTGTGTGTGTGTGTGTGTGTGTGTGTGTGTGTATACATGCTGGCATGAACAAATTTACCCATTTGTAAACAAAGAAATGTCAACAACTAAAAATTGCTATAAAGATACTGTCAAATGATGCTCAAATCCCTTATACCTCCCTCCATGTCATATTTTAGACTGAAAATAACAGGAGTAGAAAAGCAAAGTCTTATCAGTCAGTGGGGAAGAAGTGAGTTTGTTATGTTATATTTGATCATATAAATGAATAATTTTGCAAATTTTTAAAAGAATTTTAGAGGGAAATCTGCTTTATAATTTTATATTTCTCTGATATAGTCAAGATATCTATAATCTGAAGATTACCTTTTGTAAATGTTACAGTATTTACAGAGGGCATAAATATTTTATTAGGCAGCCATTGATTTTTTTTCTCCCAATTTCTTGCTTAATAACAACAGCAATGACAAAATTAGGAAATACTAACTTTTTTGTTCAGATAAATAATCCTGAGCTAGTAAAGTTATGAAAAATACATATATAACTGAAAAAGTTTCAATATTTCCACATCCTGTCCCCATGTGTCATTATTTTTAGTAAATAGAGAATATTAATTCTTTCATCTTTTTTCAAAAAGATAGCATGTACTTTTGTTATGCTAATAACACTCCAGGAAGTACACATTCTTAGTTTCTCTAAATACAATCTTATAAATACCTGAAAATGCATGCTCCGAAATTCAGGTTTCTACTGTTTTTCTGTGGTTGATTTCTGAGTGAGAGAATTTATGTTTGTTGAAAATTGATTCTGGTCTCAGAACTTTGAAAGGGCAACAGAAGCCAGTTAAATTTTGGTGCCTATTCTTGATATATCCATAGATGTGCAATTAAATTATAAGGCTGCTTTGTAATAAAGCTTTGTTTTTCATTTGAGGACTTTCTAGAGCTTCAGTTACTGCTTTTAATATCAATATGCATTTCAGTACTCTTGACAAAAAAATTTTACCATTACTTTGACCTAATTTTATTAAAATTTTGGAAGAAATGTTTCTATTTTCCCCCACTTTTTAAAACTTTTTAAGAATGAGATAATATATATTAGAAAGCCTTGGATATTTGGTAACAACTGCAGTGACTCCCAGAAAGCACTGAAGCAACAGTTTCTTAGCTTAGGTTATTAATAAAGGAAAAATCAAAAACCTCAGTCAAGCAGACCTCAAGGACTCTAGAAGTTTTTGAACATGAAATTGCTTTACTTTTTCCAGCCATGCATTGCTCTCTGTTATAACCTATAAGTCACACTTCCTATACCCTACAAACATTAAATTAAGAATCCTCACAGTCCATGACAACTGTTTACCATCATTGAAAAGCACAATTCGGGTAGTTTGGTGTTCTCACAGGACTGACCTGTGATGGCATTTGAGACTTCAGAATGCTCGAATGCAGTATAAAATCTTGTAATATTTTGTTTCTGAATTGGTGCCAGCTGATCGTGATTTCCCTGACAGTCTCATATTTAAAGACTGCATTTAAGCTTTAACTTTGGGCAAAGTCATCCACAACAAAAGCACAGAGAAATCTTTCTCACCTGACACCGTCCCGCCCTGAGCCATTTTGTTCATTTCCAAGCAGTACCTTAGTAACGTCTTACTGTTCAAAAGGAAATGAATTGTCTTCTGCTTTTGAAGACCTGGATTCTTGGTGAAGGACTCTTTTCTTGGGCATTTTAAACATTATTTCATTAAAGTTTGGTACAAATAGAACTTCCGTGAGTGTGTCCCTTAATTCAAATCAGAGGCTTTAACGCCCTCATAAACTGAGTAGGAATCACTTAAGTAACCAAGTTGAAAGAGAAGCACAAAATTCTAACCAGGCCTGCCCCTTAGCATCTGCTTCCAGAACTGCTCACAGGGGCTCAGGTGGAGAATCCACTGAACAAAGAAACTTTCGCCTTTTCCACTCCTGCTCCAACCGAGTTAACCCCCAAGCAAACTCAAGTGCTTTAGAGTTAAGACCAACTCTTTTCATGAAAATGTTAATAAAAAATTTACCAACAAAGAAAAGCCCAGGTCCTGATGGGTTCACTGCTGAATTCTACAAGATGTTTAAAGAAGAACTATTGCCATTACTCTTTAAACTCATCAAGGAAATTGAAAGGGAAGCAAGGCTTCCAAATTCTTTAAATGGAAAATGTAATAAAAAATCTACCAAATAACCAATGTGTAGTTCTCTAAATAGTTAAACATTTGAGAATGTTATTTTACATAAAAATATATTTCTAAGATTTCTCAATGGTGTAAACGCCCAGGGAAAATGCTATGATGTACAGCATTGTCGAAACGGTTAGAAAATGAATCATTTTAAGATGGGCTAAGTATATATAAACCAATATTTTGTAAGTTTTAATACATTGGATTATGTTTTAAATTTCTTTGGTCCGGGGGAAGATAACAATAACAAACACAAAGCCAAAATTCTGTGAGTTGTTTTAACATGATAATTTCCATTTTGAAAATAATTTTCAGGCCAGGGATTTAGCTCAGTGGTTCTGCCGCCTGCCTCACAAGTGCAAGGACCTGAGTTCAATCCCCAGTACCAAAAAAAGAAAAGAAAAGAATTTTCATGGAACTCTTGGAAGTTTTACAAGCATGCCCCATACACATAAAACTTCTGAGTGCTTAATAATGAACAGTTGGAATCCAGTTAGCCATCAAAAAGATCTTTATGTTCCTTTTTAAAATTAGTTTCCTTCTAAAAATCCTTGTGTATGGGTAATGTATATTAATATTAAAAAATACATGGTGAACTTTGCATTTTGGCAAGTTAGTTTACATGCGATCAGTCATCTTACCAAATATGCAAAATTTATAAAAGCAGACAACCAAGCCAAGCCACACTTTCCTTGCCTGAAGCTGAAGATAAGGCTGGTTTTCTCAGAGATCCTATGCAGACTCCCACCCATGACTGAGCTCAGGGCCTTCTGGACCCATACTAATTTTCTGTTTCCCAAGAGGACTACATCAACTTGGCCTTATCCATAAATATTTCCAGTAATTCTGTTGGTCACAGATAACATCTCTACATAGGAATTCTTATGTATGGTATACTGTCATAATGCGTAGTAAATACAGTAACTAGGTCACTTTAATTTTTAGGTTGTCAAAACAACTCTCAAAATATAAAACATAATTTTCATATTAACACAGCAACGTAGTATCACAGGGAGAATAAGGACACACAAAACTTGTCATTATTAATGAGAAAATCAGCACTATGGCCCAACTGGTTCAAAGAAGGATATGAAGAACTGAAAAAGAAAATGGTTGAGGGTATACGGCAGTGGTATAGCACCTGTCACCTGTCCTGAGTTAAACCCTCAGCACAGAAAC